GTATTTCAGAAAGTTCCATATGACCCAACTCTACAAGGAGTCCTTCATTTTTTGATTGATGCACTGTGCTCTACACTGCAGTTGGAGGACAGACATATGGCCTTTGTTCCAGACATAGGGCCTTTTAGAACCATTGCTCCAAAGAACTTCCTCTACAAGGAATTGAATCAATCTGTGGAAGCATGGCTACCTCCCACTCAAGCAGCACATTCTTGATGTTCTTCAGCAAGTTGGTGTTTTAAAGGCTAAGAGTGGTGGATGACAATCTTAATGTGTGTTGCTATGTTGCAATCTGGTTTAATTTATCTTTTAGCTATGTTGTTTGAGGAGGGTAGGTTACTTACAAAAGGAAGGAATTACTATATGTCTTATAATAAATGTCATTGCACCAAGTCAATCTGAGACTAACACATTTAAAATTGTTATACCAGAAGCATCTGTGCTATCATTTTTTAGTATAAGAGGTAGGAAATTACAACTTACAGTCTTTGTTTTCTAAATCATTATACACAGGGACCCTTTTTTATTTTGCAAGATTAATCCACTTTGTGTTTTACTCATGCCATCCAAACTTTATCTTTTGTCAACCTCACATTACATAGTGTCACTAGCAGAAGGACTATGACTTTTATTTCAAAGAATTTTAGGAGCTTATGGTAAATGACATTTAGTGCATAGTGAGAGAACAGATTCAGAAGTTAGCATCAAAAAGCATGGTCCCAAAAAGAGACGAGATAAGTGCAGGTGTCAAAAACTGTATGGCAGATGGAAACAGAACTACAGACTCAAGGAAAGAATGAAAAGAAGGTAGAGTAGGCACACAAACTGAAACTTATAAACAAGAGCAAAAGACACATGAGTGATACGTCAGAACAGATATTCAGTCTAAAATAAAAGGTCAGATACACAAGATAGGAAGCAGGATCAAAGAAGCTATCTAAGCATGAGCAAACTGAAGTTGGTACAGATACAGTCGTAGGAATAGATAAAGAGTGAAAAGAAAGCTGAATCAGGGGGCCGAATCATAAAGAGATAGGGAATCAACAGACAGAAGCATAATCCATAGACTGTATATTTCAGGTCAAGAAGAAATGAGACAAACAGGGTACACAGAAGAAAGATATACAGTGCAGGAAGGGGAAATAGGATTATATGATCTAGGCTCGAACACAATAGTATGATCACAGGATAAACAAACACAAAGGAAAGGCTGTAGGCAAGGATACACAGGAAGTGACACACTGTCCCAAGAATCTGCAGTCATGTAAGAGATTGCTCAAACTAGGCACAGGTGAGGAGAGAGCGTAGACATATAATGCAGGAAAACTTGAACAAATACAAAGTGACTCAAAAGCATAATGAGAACACGGAGCAGAAACATAAAGGTCATAAGAGCAAATACAGCTAGGTTCATAACCAAAGGTACACTGGTTTAAAAGTATTTACAAGCATTGGCAAGAAGTAGTGTCATTGGCATTCTTCATAGTGCAGAAATAGAAAATGTGCACCGATGCGCATGACCACACTTGCCGCCACCATACTGATGTGCACTCTCCACTACTGCACCAACATACCCACTGCATCGATGCACAATTACTCATTCTCTGCAGATGCACAGATACACATTTCTTCAACTTCTGCCTCTGCACTTCCACTTTGTTACAACTAAACAAATTGGCACTTTGTTTTAGTGAATTTTAAAGTTGAGCTGAAATGTGCATAAAAATTATTTGGCTCTTGTGCCAGAACTTACTCTGCCGGGTCAGAAATGGTTTGTTTATTTGACAGTATCCTCTTCTGTAGTATAAGACATCATACATAAAACATTTATAGTAGAATATTTCAGTGTGGAAATATTTATCCAATATTCATAATTTTTTAAAAAAGTTGTCATGCACCAACATTTACACAGTATCAATAATTGATTAAAATGTTATCATGTTCCATCATTTACACATACTTAATAATTTAAACATTGTGCTTGTCATGTTGCAAAACAATGTTTCAATTTACTTGGAAATTGGTTTGATATGGTGGATTAAGCAAATTATCTGTACTTAATGCACATTAAATTCAGGGTTATTTGTAATAGATGCATTTATAATCCAAAATGTATGACCATGAAGAGATACACATCTCTTTGATGGGTTACAGTCATTCAGATATTTTAGTGCAGACTGTTAATCCATAACAAATGTGTAGACCTAGGTCATGTAGTTTGGGACCAATTAACCTATCATCAACTCATTAGACCTGGAGTTAAGATACCCTAACACATATCCTAGTTAAATCCATGGTTCCAGCACTGTGATGCAGTACTAAGGAAGAACTTTACCCACCAATTTAATGTCACCCAAACCAGTTACTTTTAGGGCATGCCAACTGTCAAGGCTGCCAGTGTGCTTATTTCTGCTCTCAACTGAACATTCAAGCCCTCAAATGGCTGGTGCCATTGCTGATCACATGTGCAACACCATGACCAATGCAATCCAAATACAGGCTAAGATGGCACCTTCCTTGGCTGTAAGGGATAGGAGGTTGTAGTTCTGTTGAATTCTCCCCTAATGACCGTGAAATATGGATGATACAAGAGAGTACAATATTACAGCAATGACCCAGACATAGATGTTCTTAGCAACCACAAATTATTGTAAGTATTATAAAAGAAAATATTTTCAAAAAACCCTGCCAAACAAATGTATAAAGTATACCACAAGATACAGATCTGGCCTGACTGCGATATTGGGAACCAAGCAATACTGCTTCTAGGTTCCTTCTCTACATGTAGAAAACAGAAAAAGGGGAACCAGCTGGAAGTGCAATGCTGTCATGTAATATGACCATACATTGGGCAGAGTGGGTGAAAAACCAGAGCCTTTGCGGGGACATCTTGTGAGTTAAAACCAGGACTTAACAGATATACATCTAGAGAACATTAAACACAACATTAAAATGGTGAGAAACAGTAAAGATAATATAATGTCCTCCAAAGAGTTGTGGATAGATGATTACTTTGCTATGTTTGTTGTCTCTCGTTTAATTACATGAGAATATAGTAATTAATGTAATGTAAATTTATTTTCTTGCATAAAGTACAAGGCGTCAGTACAAGTGAATTGCTTCTCAAAGTACAAAGGCAAATGATCAACAGAAATTTATGTGCTAATAGATCTATGTTGAATTAACAGCCATGATTTTGAGGATGGTAATGTCTGTAAGTAGATGTACCTAAAGTAAGTGGAAAAAGTAGGCAAACATTTTTTTAAGAATTGTTTAAATAACAGTTTATGCATTTTTCTTTCCATGGAATTAGAATGCCTTTACATTTCCATTATGGAAAAAACATAAACACAGCTATTAGTAATCCCTCTGCAATCTCTAATCTTTAAAGCTTAACTTCATAAAAAAGATACATGTATGGTTGAAATACATATATATGATAGTGATGTATATGATATACACTGAGTGGCCAGATTATTATGACCACCTGACGTTTGTGGGCAAAGTAGCTATAATTAGCTATCATTTTGCGCTGAAGTTGCTAGAGGACCAGACCATTATAAATAGGGAAGCAGGTTGTTTACCACGACAGTAGAAGTGATTTCTTTCTGAATATATGGGTAAACAGCGCGATTTGACGTGGGATGATTATTGGCACGGAGCCATGGAGCGAGTATCAGCAAAACAGCAGAATTCATTAAATGTTCAAGAGCAGCTGTTAGTAAGAATACTTTCAGAAATAAAAGTGCTAATAGTTTATTTTTAATCAATTAATAAAATGGGAAGTAAATGAACAGAAGAGAAATCCAAATCAAATCAATATTTGGTCATCATGGAGAAGTAACCACATATCTTCTGTGGATGTAGGCTGCCTCAAATCCTTCTGTCTCTTCATCTAATCCCAGACAGAATCAATGATGTTGAGATCTGGGCTCTGTGGGGGTCAAACCATCAATTCCAGGACCCCTTGTTCTTCTTTAAGCTGAAGATACTTCTTAATGTGTGTTTGGGGACGTTGTTCTGCTGCAGAATACATTTGTAACCAATCTCACGCCTCCCTGATGGTATGGCATAATGGATAAGTATCTGCTTGTATTTGTCAGCATTGAGGACACCATTGATCCTGACCAAATCTCCAACTCCATTTGCAGAAATGCAGCCCCAGACTTGCAAGGAACCTCCGCCATGCTTCAATGTTGCTGCAGACACTAATTATTGTACTGCTCTCCAGCTCTTTGACAAACAAACTGCCTCCTGCTACAGCCAAATATTTAACATTTTGACTCATCAGTCCGGAGCACCTGCTGTCATTTTTCTGCGGCCTTGCAGCCAAAAAGCCATACCTCCAACATGGAAACAAGGCTAAGCGATTCAACTGTGCACAGAAGCATAGGAACTGGGTTGCAGAAAAATGGCAACAGGTGCTCTGGACTGATGAGTCAAAATGTTAAATATTTGGCTGTAGCAGGAGGTTGGTTGTTATATATGATATGTTTTACCTGCAAAATGATTTGTATTCCTGTCCATCCAGTCCTAAGATGTACACAGCCCGACTAAACAGAAGACTTGGGATAGTGGCCTGACTTTTCTCTACTACAGTTAAGCACTGTAGCCTTGTCGCCTCCCTGCTCTTTGCTTATTATTGAACAGTGAAGGAGCAGCTGCTCACTAATGAGTCATCTCTCTTATCAGAATGCTGATTAACAGCTCATATACACTGCAGCACACCTGGTTGGCTCCTAGTGCATCTCCTCCCTAGCCCAGTGTCCTGTTGTATAGGAGATTACAAAAGGCTGACATAAAGTCGAATTCATGTACTTATACTAGTTGCATTGAAAAATACATATATAATATTTTGTTTTACATACACTTTAGTATACTTTCATTGTATATCCAGCTGTCTGTCTGGAATTCGGTGTTTTGTTATTTGTGTACATATTGCACACAAAATAAATGATATACAACAAATTTGAAATCCTGTCTTTCTGTTTTCTAGACTTCCTTCTGACCTGTAATGCTGGAAAAAGTGACTGCTTCAAATTCCCATCAGTGGTAACAATGGAACGTCAGCTTTAGATGAAACAGCAAGAAAGGAATTTGAAGCGGTAAGAATATTGGTCTGTCTCTTATGTTTCATTTTATGAAAGTTTGATTGTAAATAGAATTGGCAAGAAGAGGTAAATCACTTAGTTTAAATGATATAATATGGCCAGTTCAATGGAGCTACCTTTAATATTATTGCATTGCACTGCATAGCTTATAAAAGGACCTGAATATAAAAATAAATGCAGATTTTGCATTTATAAGTAATATGCAAAACCAATTTATTTACAAGTGTTTAATAGTACATTTTCCCATGCAGATTGTAACCCTGAGTATCTAGAGTCTGTTTAGCATTTCACTGATTTTATGACAATTATTATTGATATTAAGACAACATATTGGTATAGAATGAAGTAATATATATATCAAAAAGACAGAACAGCTGAAGTTTTCCCCCCCTCTAAAAGTCGGAAACTCCTAAAGGTATAACTAGTATAATCACAAAAACCCATCCACATTTTCTATTAGTTTTGAATAGAGTGGGAAAGCGTTAGAACCTGTCAACATTTTATTTCCGTTGTGTCCTTATTTGGGAATTTATTTATTACTGCCTGCCTATATGACTGGTATCACAGAAAAAGCTGAAAGTAAGAGTCATTTCCACATTCATGCACAGAAAGCAATATAAACTATCCTTAAAGTGCGGGGAAGGGTTGTAACCTCTGTCAGGTTCTATTTCTGCCCGTGTCCCCAGTGAAGAGATATGCCCTTCTTTTCCTCTCAGAACAGAGAAAGGTGTGGAAGGTTGATTGCAGCAGGCGATTAAGAGATGCTGCCGCAGAAAAAGTCTTCATTCAGGGCCGGTTCAAACCACAAACTGTGCGTTCCAGGGCGGTCAGCCTCTCGAACACACTGTATCACAAACCGGCCAGCTCCCTGCTTTCAGTGGCGGGAGGGGGCGTGGTGGTGCATTAAAGTCAGTGCCTGTGTTGCGGTCCAATGCGATCTGCAAAAATCGTTCTTGCAGCCTTTTTGCAGATCACACTGGACTGGAATGCAGGGACTAATTTGCAGGAGGAGCCGTCGGCTGGAACGAGCGGCTTCCGCGTTCCACCGTGGAATGCAAGCCGCTCGCCTCACAATCAGGAAGTCGAGCGGCCCCCGCGTTCCACCGTGGAACGCAGAGCGGCCGTCCGCGCAAAGGGGCCGTTCGGAGTGACACTTCCCCGCCGGGACTCGTTACAATGTGCCACGCGTTCGGGTGCTGTCGATCGCACTGTGGGCTGAGGGCATGGCTGCTGTGCCATTGACTTCAATGCACCACCACGCCCCCTCCCGCGTCTGAAAGCAGGGAGCCAGCCGGGTTGTGATACAGTGTGTTCCAGAGGCTGACCACTCTGGAATGCACTGTTTCTGGTGTGGACCAGCCCTCAAGGTGAGGATTTTAAAGTGCCACTGGCCACCAATGTTGTGGGGTTTGCTTTGTTTTTTTTGTTTTTTGGGGGGGGAGTGGTTTTAAAGTGCAACTGACCATCAACGACGGGGGGAGTAAAAAAAAAAAAA